GTTATAGTTCAAAGGAACATCTTTACTTCACTTTACTTGCAGTTACTTGTGAATTCTTCCACCTTCATCCCGGCCACTGCTAATACTACTTGTTTCCTTGAACAAGGGAACAATTAATGCAACTGGATTTTTGCGTTCCGCCACCAGGCATGAGAATAAAAATTGTTTGTGCACCAGCAAGATTCTATTCTCATTTGATACAACTTCTGCTTTCACTTATGGGAACAGAAGACCTGGAGATAAATTCGTGCGAGTGTCTCGATGTGATGCATCATGCGCAGTGCAACTCACTTTTCTGACTGCAGTCAGATTAGACTGTGGCGCAAATCGGCACTTACTGTTCGCTTTGAAGCTATTCCCATTATTTTTGCATTACTTCTAAAGAATCAAATCGACAGCCGTCTTCAAGAAGTGGTCACAAAGCTGGGAAATAAACTTTTGCCGACGGTTTCGATATGGGAACCGACTTCAAATATTCCATGCAATGAGCGAAAATTTGCAAGACAAATAAAACGTCGCATGGTGAGGTAATTGACGTTTTGGAACAAACTCCAAGTCACAATAATGAGAACGTCTTGTAGAACACTCGTTACAGGACTTTTGGGAGCTCAAGAGACTCCAAAAGTGTTTGCTTTTCACTAACTTCGTTTTAAAGTCAATGCTGACATGTACTTCAGTGGTGTTAAATAGTATGAAATTCGGACATTAAAATTAACGTCGCAATAGCAAGTGGTGGATTTTATAATCAAAGATTGAAACATATATCGTGCGGAAATTCCCTGCGCTTTGTATTCGTTTGGTACAACATCCTCATCGTCTAGAAGAGTAAGACTAAAGCTAGCAGTTTCAATCAGTCCAATTCAACCATGAGTTTGAGCCGCCTCCCGCGAACAATCACAATGCATGGCTGAAAAATTTAATGGATACATCCTACCTGAAATTTCGTCAAAATGTGAACTGAAGTTCACCCAAGATTTCTAAAGTACTTTGTTTTGAAGCAATATTGCATGGTCATGGCAGTATTTGGCAGTAATTTACGAAATCACCTGAAGAGACAAATATGAGTTATTCAAGATTGAAAGATTAGTTGATAGTAATAATATTCACAGTAGCCAGCCATGCACTTAACCGTCCTTAATTCGGACAGGTAAGAAAATAAATGTTGAGGAAAAGGAAAACATGAAATAGGCAAGGAGACATATTCACAATTTTTTGACCTAAACTGTCCAGTCAATCACCACTGTAAAAGAATATTAATTGAATCAGGACGACAAGATAGATTATAATAACATAACTTCATTCACATTCTGTACTCGTCAGGCGTTAATTGAGAAGAGGCTGAAGTCAAATACCTCTAATTTGCATATACGAAATCATCCTGAGTGGTATTCGGCTGATAGCCTGGGTAGGAAGACATGTTGGTAGGTGCCGGTTCCGAGACAAAGGCGGGACCGACGGTCGTAGTGGCAGCAGGGCCATGAGAACCACCTTTCCAAGCACGGTAGCAGTAGTAGCAGTCCACGCAGAAGAGGATCAGACCCACGAGCCAGAAGAACTGCATGTACAAAAATCAACGGCCTAAGAACTCGGTCGCGGAAAATACGGACATATTATTCAAAACTTACAGACGCAGCACCGTCTTGTGAGAAACCTTGAGAAGCCCCATAGCACGCAACGCAAAAATTGATGAAGGAGACAATTACCATCACCACTGACATGATGAAATCCTATAAACAAGTAAAAGATAACTGTTTTAAGTAAGATATGTGTCACAATAATGCTTAGAACAATTATAGCAAAACACAGATTCGTAATTGTTGTGAAAAAGCAAATGGAGTTGAATACGATGAAATACGAACAAAATAGGTATTTACAGCAAAGGGCCAATTCAGGCTAAATTTTCCTGTGAGACTAAGGAGGTAGAAGATAAAGAACGTCAATTCAATGATGAGGGCGATTATGGAGACCAAAAGGAAGAAAATCCGGTAAGACGCACAACCGACGCACGCGCAGACGAAGGTGATGAACATAATAATACATATTAACAGTTTAACAATGCCCGTGAAGGACTTCAAATAGGCGCTGTTCACAGCCATATCCCCAACTCATCCAGGCGAAAAACAAACCAACGGACCAGGCTGAAGGACACTTGCACTAATGATTTCATGCGTTATAACGAGCTGGAAGTTCTATTAATAACCTACATGTTATTTTACATAAAAATATGCATTTAAAAATATAACTGCTTAAATTCCAAATTTTATGATTAAATAAAGCGGCTGATTGTTAATTT